TCCACGCTCCCAGGGCTGCAGCAGAGGTGGGCAGCAGCCTGCAGTGGGACAAGAGCAGGCTGGGGCCGGTGGCAGCACCAGGCTCTTCCTGGCACTCGGGGTGGGCTGCGGCGATGGGAGGGGGGCTGCTACCCGCTGAAACCTGCCCTCCCAGCACCACTGCGGAGTGTCAAGAAGAGCCTGGTGCCACCACCAGCCCCAGCCTGCTCTTATCCCTCTGCAGGCAGCTGCTTGCCCCTGCTGCAGCCCTAGAAGCGGCAGATGCTGCCTGCTTGCAGCTGCTGGGCTGTACTACACCTGGGGGCTTGGGGCATGGTGCAGCCCAGTGGCTGCAGGCATTTGGTGTCGGCCTCTCCCAGGCCTGCTGCAGCAGGGGCTGCAGTAAGTGGGGAGAAGCGGAGCAGTGGGCAGAAGTGGGGTAAGTGGGGCTGCCACCCACCCCAAGCACTGTAAAGAGCCTGGTGCTGCCTCTGCTGCAGCCCCAGGAGCAGCAGATGCCACCTGTTTGCAGCCACTGAGCTGTGCTGCCCCCTCTCCCCACCCCTTCCCTAGCCCCAGCCGCACTCCCTCCCTCACTCACTGCTATGGGAACGCATCCCTATTTGTTTAATTGTAAACTGGGTTTGCTTTATGCAAATTTGATTTATGCGCCATTCTCTGGGAACTCATCTACCGCATAAATCGAGGGAAACCTATATAGAAGTAATGTTTTCAGATGTTAGTGTCCTAATGTATCTTATGATCCACTTGGATCAATATTGCTTCCTTTTAAGGCAACCTTTGGATGCTCCTTTATGATCATTGTTGTAAAATCAGCACTGCAATAATGAATGTAGTTTAATATTTGTGCTAGGAGGAGTAGTAAATATGCAACTTAGAAAGCAGAGGAGAATATGCATGGGAAGAAGAGAAACATTTAACAAAGGACATTTCTAAATTGTCAGACTTATGTTCCTGTTAACACTGCATTGAAATGTGCCATGCTGCTCTGTGGAAGTAGTGTAGCCTCCTTCACGGAATATTGTGGGCTAGTTAGTTCCAGTCTTATTGGCTCAATTAATTAGTTAAAAGCATGGTAATATACTTGTTAAGCTGTTTAATTTACACCAGGGAAGAATAAAACTTTCATAGTGCTCCCTTGTTTCAGTAGTTTGATGCTAGGGGAGAAAACATTGGGAAAGAATCAATTCTCAGGTAAAAGAAAAGCCACAAAAACTGATCTGATGTTTTACCTGATGACAATAAATCCTATCTAAGAATACTCACCATATGAAGGAAAAAACAAATTGATGAAAACAGAAAGTTCAGCAATGTTTTTCTGCTTTCAGAGAAGAGAATTGAAAGGATTTACTAGTACAGGAAAAGAAACTTTCAACAGTAAAAGTGACATGGGAAATTTAATGTTAAGATTAATATGTTTTATATAGCTTTTGGGTTATTCTAGAGATACATCTTTGGAATATTAATATTCTTGGGCTGTCGCTTTATACAATAACTTTTGTTGGAAACGGAGTACTTGCATTTTCAGTGCTCTGCTGAAGCTTGCCTCATTGCATTTTTTTTCTTTAAGACTACAATTTTTGATGGCATTTATATAATCCAGATAACTATGAGCCGAGGGCTGTGTGTTTTGTACAGCTTTGACTGTGCTTTGAGTATTCAGCAGAAGTAAGCTTTTCAGATAGATTAAATAGTGCATATCTTGCTTAGTGTCCATTCTCCATTTGGTTATGAAAAATAACCTTTGGAAAGAGCATTCCAAAAATATGCTACTACATGAGAAAATTTAGTGTTTTACCTGTTTTACCCCATCCAATCTTGACATCGTTCAGTTTACATTAGATAGAGATTTTTCTATGGCTATATGTTTCTGTATAAGAAATACAGTAATCTTCACTCTTCCTATGATGAGGTTAATCTTCAGATTCAAAAATGTACCTCTTAAGAATAAAGACCAGCTTAATTTTGTGTCCGGTGCAAAAGAAGTATGTTGCTATTCTTAACATGTTTATTACAGCAGCATTATGCAAGCCAGTACATTCTGAATGCTTATACCCTATTGTAACTTCATGATGTTATCCAGGAAGTACTTTACTTTCCAGCCAGAGTTTTGACTAATGATTGTGAGCGACTTTGTGGTCTATTCAAACGACCTTGAGAGCAGAAGACAAAACAGAATTGATCAGTTTGAGGATAACTTTTATATAGCTTAATTTGTCAGTCATTTTCTTTACAGATGATCACTCTTTTGAAGCAGCTACAGGATCCAGCAAACAGATTTTACAAGGTATGAAATAAATAAGTATAGTAGTGTATTAGTTTGGATCCTAGTGCTGTCTAGGTTCTGACTTGAATATTGGTGATGTTCTTTAGATATTAATAATGAACATGTTTTAGTGGCTTTGATTTTTTGTAGAAGATAAACCATTGTAAAAGACTAAATACAAGTGTGACCTAATTTCTATTTTTAAAAAACCTAGCTATTATGGCAACACATGCTATGGAAAATAATGAAAAAGCATAGTTATGGTGGACTATAAAATCAGAAAGCCCTAATCAGTGTGACAGATTTTAAAAGGTTCCAAGGTACTTACCTTCACTTTTTCTCAGCATAGTTAATCTTGTCCAGTTTAAAGTCTGCCTTATTCTGTGCACTGGGGTAAAACAAAGACCTGATCTTGGAGGCATTCAGATGAGTAAGTTCATTGACATATGTCCCAAAAATGACCCTGGAGAATTAATTGTCAAGAATCGTAAGTTAACTGCATATGAAATGGATATAAACACCAGAGGAAATAGTTACTAGTGGTACACCAATAGAGATTTTTGGGACCATAACCGATAGCCGATTTTTAAGGAGGCATATCAGCCAATACCAATCCAGTTTTCGATACACAGCCCGGCAGCTTGAAGAGCAGTGTCTGGCTGGTAAGTCTGTTGTGGTGGAAGGGGAGTGGGGAGGGAAGGGGCATGAGGGGGGCATATCAAGGCCCTGCAGTGATGGAGGGGGGCAGATCAAGGTCTCGTGGTGAGGGAGGGAGTGGGGCTGGGGCAGGGGCAGGCGCTGCCCAGCTGGGGCAGGGCATGGTGTGGGACAGAGCTGTGGGGGTAGCTCCTGCAGCTGCAGGCACCGTGGGAGGGTACAGGGGGGTGTCTGTGTAGGCTGGGGCTCGGGCTGTGCTGGGCTCTTCCCGGCCTGGGTGGGCTGCACTGAGCTGTGCTCGGGGTCGGCAGCGGCACTGGGAGGGGACTACGGGGAGGTTGCAGCCACCCCAAAATTTACTGTATCCCCCACAACCCCCTCTCAGCGCTGCTGCCTGCCCTGAAGGCAGCCCATCCCAATGCCTGCTGGGAAGACCACAGCACACCCACAGCGGCAGCCCACCCTGCCCCATGCAGATCCAGGGGCACACCCCCTGTGCCCTCCCGGGATGTGTGCAGCAGCAGGGGCCATGCTCCCTGGACAAGCTGTGGCTCCATCCCATGCCTTGCTCTGGCTGAACCATGCCTGCCCCATCCCCACTCCCTCCCTCACTGCAGAGGCCTTAATTTGCCCTCCACAGGGCCATTCCCTCCCCACTCCAGACTTCCCTATTGGACACAGCTCTCCAAGCTGCCAGGCTGTGCTCGTCAGCGCCTACATGTTGCGCTGCAGCTGCACACATGCATAGTGCATTTATTGGCCACATCAGGCAAAAAAAGCTGATTTCCAATACAGTCATTTTTCTTTGTATCAGTGGCAATCCAATATTGGACCAATGTATCAGTGCACCTCTAATAGTTACTCGACATAACAGAGCAGTATGCGCACCTATGGCATCTCTTCTTTGTGTGGTTCCCTATTTTTTTGGAATAATGGACCACAGTCAGGCCCTCAAATTTCTTATAGAGTACCTTGCCCCCTCATCTCATGTAACTGAATGGGTGTATTGCATTTTAATCTGTTTACTTCTACTTTAGGATCCATCATTTAAGAGGCTACTTTTTTTGGCTCAGCGATTACCAGTGGTTGTCAGCTATTACACTTTCAAAACAATTCTTATCCTGTCCATCCCACTGTATGACTTGCTCTCTATTGGATGTATGTATGCAGGACTTTTAATAAGTTTGCAGGTGCCTACTTTTTCAGAATAAATGTACAACAGGACTTTAAAAATTGTAAAGAAAATTATGACCTTGTCATCTTGTAGAAAATGAATTAGATAAATGTGAGTTTAACATTATTGATCTTCATTATGTTTATATAGTTTATCATTTATATGTAGTTGTATAATGTATGAGCACGTTTGTATACTCTATATATATACGCACTGCACTATAGTGTGGTGCCTGTGGCTCAGTGAAAAATGGGATCCCACTGTGCCTAGGTGATCCAAGCCCTTATGAGCCTACAGTTTAAGTCGCTGAGGCAGACCCAGGGTGGAGAGAAGGGTTGGTTATAAAATGTAAGAATGAACAGTGAAATGGCAGGAAATGTCATGTTCATTCCATAATTTATTTGGGGTGAGTTCATTTAGGAGAAGATAAACTAAATAGAAAGCAAAGTGAAAGGAGGAGGAAGGTAAGAAAGGCATGGGGGGTGGGAGGGTAGTGTGAAGTAGAGGCAAAGAGACTGTGAGAAGGAAGAGAGGGTTGGAGCAAACAGCTAGTCAGCACAGGACAGAGAAAGTCTGTTCAGAATTGTAGAAAGTTCTCTTAAACGCTGTTCAGCTGCTTCCACAGGTTAAAGTCTCTGACTGGTTCCTCTCTCCATGCTTCCCCAATGTCGTATAACAAGTGAGGGGATTCCATTCTGCATCCTCCAGTGCTCCTAGATGAAGGGGGTCTCTAGGTTCAGTGGTATGTTGGAGGAAAGGGTGGTCCTGGGAAGGCTCCCTCCGCTGTGCAGCAGTAACGGCTTTAAAATGAATATGGAACTATTTAAGTTTTGTTATTTCTGCTAAGTTCTAGTGAAAAATCCTAAGGTGTTTTAGGACTATTATTTACAACATTGGAAACTACCTTCTTGTTTGTTGGGCAAATAATAGAGTGAAATGAAGATATTGTAATTTCTGTTTGGCTGGCACATTTCAATTGAAACTCACCAGAAAAAGATAATTAAGCTGTTGTATCTTTGTAATTTATTGCTAAGAAGTTACTTAGAATCTTGTTCAAAATGAGTCTGTTTAAAATATTCTTAAATATTAATTTAAATATGTATTTATATGACCAATGATATTTAGCTTTTCAGGTGAAATATTTCCAGTTGTAAAAGCTTATACATTGTAAAAGCTGTTGATGAGTAGGGAAAATACCAGTCATGGGAAAAGTTTATGAAAAATGTAACTAGTTAAAGTTAAAAGTTAGCAACCTTTAAAATTAACGTGAGTTATGTTAAAAGTTAAGGATTTCCACTTTCAACTAATTAAAAGGTAAGTTAAAAAAAGAGTAACTAGTTAAAAGTTAAGTTGATTCATGAGAAATGCGTGAAACACAGTGAATTGCCTCTTAGCATCATTTTTCATTTTTAAATGCAATGAGTGGGTTTCTTTTCCATAAGTCCACAGAAGCACACTAATTTACTCAGAACTCGCCTTGCTTTACCCGAAAACAGTGTTATATTTGTTATACAGTTTTCAGAAGAATGATTTACCAATACCTATGTAATGTTAGATCCTTCTCACCCTCTCTATGTGAAGTACTTTGTAAAAGTTAATGCATCTTATAGGTATACCAGAATAACAGAAAGGAGATATTCATAGCCAGGTGACAAATGGAAGCTGTTTCCACGGAAAACGTCTGTTACAATTTTTATTGCCCAAAAGGTAACAAAAGGATATGAAATGCATCTGAATTAGAAATAATGAAAATGTCCGAAAATCAAAATTAGACTGAAATGAGGAAATCAGTTTAAGTGAGAAAAAAAATGTTCAGTTGCATAGCAGAAACCGTTTAAATACGCTTATTGAAGTTCAGCAAAAGCTGCATTTCAAAATTAACATCTGACAATTTTCCTCTTCTGTCTTGCAAAACTAAGTCCCCACTACTGAACAATTGCTGTATATGGGCAGATGAGGGAATGCTTATTCCCTCTCGTGCAGCCAGCTGGCTGCCCTGTTGACTTCTGCAAATGCACAGAAAATGCCAGCATGAACTGAGGAACTCTGGGACTTGGTTCTTAAGAGACCATATCTTCTGGGAAGGCACACTACTTTCTGTATCTCAAACAAGAAGTCCTAGAGTTTTAGTAAAGAAATATTGTTCCGTGCAAGTCCTAGGGAGTGCCTGTGTCAGGAAGAACTCTAGGAAAACTGGATTTAATTTTTTTTTAATTTTTAACTTATACTTTACAAAAAGTTAAAGTTAACTTTTTTTTTTAAACTAGTTAAAGTTAAAAGTTGACAGCTGAAAAATTTTTAACTAGTTAAAGTTAAAAGTTAGCCATTTCTTTTAACTTTTTAACTAGTTTATTAACTAGTTAATACCCATGACTGGAAAATACCAATAATGACCAGCAGAGAGCTCCAGAGGTTTATCTTCTGCAGACTACACAATAGATTAGAACAGTCAAGAGTGCTAACACAACAGTCATGCAGATAAGATGTGTTGTTATTAGTATTTTGACAGAATAGTCAATCTTATACTGTCAAATAATGATATACTAGCAATACCTACAACTTTTATAACTCATGCCTTGCAATGCTTTACAGAGATTTTGCTTTCTCTGGTAGCCTATGGACCACAGGAAATAAAAATTTGTCTCAGCTGGTATTATAACCAACCAGTTAGTGAAGAACTTTTAAACTGGTTACAAGTAGAGGTGCACCAATACATCGGTCCCATATCAGATAGGCAGTGATACAAGGAAAATTGACAGTATCAGAAATTGGCTTTACTTGGCTTATGTGGCCAGTAATGTTGCAGATATGCCCTGTGCATGTGCAACTGCAGCATGCAGGCTGCCAGGTGCACAACTGGGTCTGGCTGGTAAGTCTGTTGTGGGAAGAGAGGCATGGGGGTGCAGATTGAGGCCTCCGCGGTGAGGGAGGGAGTGGAGCTAGGGCTGGGGCAGGTGTTGCATAGGTGGGGTAGAGTGCAGGACAGAGCCATGAGTGGCTCATCTGGGGTGGGGTGGCAGCTCCTGCTGCTGTACAGACCCCAGGAGGGCATGGGGGGCATGTGCCCCCGGATCTGCGCGCAGTGTGAGGGCAGGCTGCCACTGCAGGCTGGAACCAGGGCAACACTGGGCTCCAGGGGTATGTGCAGCAGCGGAAGCTGCCCCCCCGTTCTCACCAGACAAGCCATTTGTGGCTCCATCCTGCACCCCCCCCCC